AGAGTTTCATCAAAAGGTTGATGAGACTTGGGGACTCAACAGGGTTGAGTCACACATGGGGTCACCTGTTGGGAATGGGTGAAGGCATTTTCCCAAACCTGAATAGGAATCGGATTGTGGCTGCCAGGCAGCTAAAGGGCATCTTCATCTCCATGTTATCGCCTCCTGTTGGCCAAACACCTGAACAGCCGTAGGCTAATTCCCCCAAACTGACAATGCCTCTGTGCCCTTTGGAACCTTACCCTTTGAAGTGTATTATCTCCGCCTTGCCTTAGGACAAATGGTGTTAATTAAAGCAAGGGTCCTAGACAAGGAGGGAGTCTTCAGTTCCTTTAGCTGAAGGTCCTCTGTCCCCCAATGCCTTCCAAAATTATATCTCGTCTCCGGACTCTTTATTAGTCTCTGGATTCCTATGTCATCTACGCACAGCCTTCTCCAGATTCCTGAACGCTTCTTGATGCCGGGACATGAACCCCGGCAGAGGGGGATGTTAAGGACATGGGGGAGGGTTGAGACAGGGAGGCAGTGACAGGCAGCTGCAGCGCTGCCACCCAGTCAGTAGTTATGAGGAGCCAAGAGCGTGCCCCTCTCCCGTGCGCCCTTCCTCTCAACCTTCCCACACTGCCCCCCGCTTATCAGCTCTGCTCGAAGGTCACCTCCTCCGAAAGGCCTTTCCCGGCCACCCTTGCTCGTGTGGCACGTACACCTCCATACTCATGCTCTGTGATAACAGCGTGTCTATTTCCATCAGAGCACTTTCCCATTCATTCATTCATTCATTCATTCATTCAACAAGCGTTCATTTAGCACCAGCCATGTGCTAGGACATTCCTGCCCAGACATTCTAGCCGCGGGGGACAGACAGCAGGCAAGGAGATACGAAGCGAAGGAAGGGAGGGGGATAATGAGTGAGGGGTACGTGCAAACACTATTTTATTTTTATGGGGCGTTTTGTTTATTTTTTTTATGATGGCATTTCGCAAGTGCACACAAAAGCAGGAGTTGTATGCTGAGCCCCACCCGGCCGTCACCGATGCCGACAATGACCAGCACCCTGCCGTTCTTGCTTTCTTGGAGACCCCTTAATTTTCTTTTTCTGGATTATTTTAGAGTAAATCCCAGATATCGTATTTCTACCTGTAAATAATTCAGTATGGTCTTTACCAGATGAGGGGTTATTTTA